AGTTAAGCTACTATTGGGGAACTCAGTAGAAGCAATTTGCCAAAAGTTTTGAATTGTTAAACTTCTTGAGACACTCATATTTCTGCTATTGAAATTATGGGACCATTGATGTATTCATGCATGACTAGAAGAGGATTACAACATATATATTAACTTGTGAATTAACCTAGCAATGTAGTGTGATTTGTGGATAAGCTATCAGCTTTTCAATCTATAACCACATCTAAGGAGTTGATGTAACTAGAAGAATTACACAGCAAAGCCTCTGACTCTGTGGATTCTCCACTGAATGCTTGCTCAAATGGTGCATCTTGAGTAGTTTGATAAGGATCAGGAGGCATTTGCAAATGTTCAACTTCCCCTTCTAGCATCTCCACTACCTTTCTCATTGAAGGACGACCAACAGGATTCGTCTGGATGCACCACAATGAAACCAAGGTCATCTTCCTTTTGATTTTCTTTTCATCATCAGTTGCTTCTACAATTTCAATTTCTTTGCCTTTATTGAACCGATCGTAAATCCAAAATGGAAAGTATTGGGTAGAATTCTCTTCAGTGTGCATCAACTCTGTCTTTAATCCTACCATTTCCATCAACAACATTCCAAAGCTGTAAACATCAGCCTTAGATGAGACACCTCCGATGCTTCTGTTGATCAATTCTGGAGCTACATAACCTATTGTTCCCCGAGCTGCAGTTAGATTCACAATGCTATTATCAGTTGGATACAATTTGGCCAGCCCAAAGTCAGAAACTTTTGGAATGAAGTTATCATCTAGAAGAATGTTGTGTGGCTTGATATCGAAATGGAGAATCTGAATATCACAGCCTCGATGCAAGTATTCAATTCCACGAGCCACACCAAGGGCAATCTCAGACTTAATCTCCCAGCTCAAGGAGATGTTTCCTTCTCGAGGAAGGATGTACTTCTCCAGTGAACCATTCGGCATGAATTCATACACAAGAGCGCACTTGGATCTCTCAACACAATATCCAATTAGCTGCACCACATTGACATGGTGAATCCTTCCAATCGAAGCAACTTCATTGATGAATTCTTGCCCATTAGCTTTGGCTTTGCCCAATATCTTTACTGCTGCAAGTCGGCCACTTCGAAGCTTTCCTTTATACACAGTACCATAACCCCCTTCACCCAATTTGTCCTTGAAACCTTTTGTCATCTTTTTAACCTCTGAATAGGAGTACCTAATGGGCATGAAGTTATTCTGACTTCGTAGAAACCTTTCAATTGCATCAAACATCGACAAATGCCTTCTTTGCAATTTATAGATTATGAACACAAATATGCCTGGTAACCCAATCAAAAATTTTGCTGCAATGTGCAGTCCTGTGGAAGAAAATTAAGAGGAAAGCCATAAGAAACTGATCCGGTGCTGTATCATTAGAACCATGGTGAAAGACGAGCAGTCTAGTGCATTGCTCTTGAACTACTGTAGGATCTAAAGAGGGGCATGTGTACACAGCTTTCCCCACATGCAAATATGACTTGTACCCGTAACGGTCACAATGGATCAACTTTATAGCTACGTCAAGACTCGCCCTCACTATTACCATGGTTCTTAGTGGAAAAAACTTCTAAACATAGGCATTTTTTATACCCTACTTATTTGGTATGTGCAGTACAAATCACATCACTTCTCTACGTGATAACCACCTACACAGTTGGCTAAAGCAACATAATTTGAAGACTAACAGACTCAAAAATCTTTCTGTACATTCCTTCACGGTCTCTCTTCACTTCTTATTCAAATGAATGGGTTAGGTTTCCCTCTGTTTTCTGGTTTCTATTTCTCTTATTTTCATTCCTTCAAAACTATCAAAGCAGTTATGTACTACAATAGAACATATATTAATAATTAAATTCGAAAAGATGCAGGGGCTTACCTACGATAAACATAATGGCTATCTGGATATCTGCAAAAATGCAACACAAGTAATTAAAACAAGAGGTTCATGTGTGTAAGTTGATCAGCATGAGTCAAATTCAGCTTTGCAAGTAACAAAGTTCACATTTATTGCAGGGAAGGGTTGAGCCCATGCTTAGCAATTTTCATTTGGACACCATTGTCTAGGCTTGAGGCCCCAAGCCATATTTAGTTTTTTCTTCCCCATGTAAAGGGAAAACATCCAATCACCCATCTTTGGGACACATGGTCATAAAGCAAATATTTGAGTACACACAAATCACGTGAGTACCAATCTAATAAGAAATTTATACGGTTAGGAGAGTTGAACTTGGGATGTAGTGCAAGCATACGTTTCCCTCCCCATGTTCCAAGTTAAGTCATGTTGGAATCTGCCTAGGTGGTAGAGAAATAAGCATGTAGAGAAAAAGAAAGAATACTTACAGTAAAAGATGACCAAAAAATTTCCCTTGGCGCCTGTAGTGTTCATGTAAAGATTACCATCAGAGAAGAAAACATAGTTAAAAGGGAAAATTTAAACCGGAAATAATCCCATCAGGCTTTGTAACAAGTTTTTTGTTACATAATACAGCTTTATGGGACGCTGATAGCATGTTATGACCTATTAAACTAAATTGATCTGTCTTCCTATGTACTCTGTTATATATTATTTAGTTTAAAATCATATGAGATGCTCATTTAATTTCTCGATTTTGTCATTTAATTAGGTGGACAAGGTAAGAAAATTAATACCGTTATTCTTTGAAGTTTGATTTTTTTATAACACATTGCTCCATAATGTTAGGTTCCAATAAAAATTGCCGTCAATTTTGATGATATTATATAATAGATCTTGAAATTCTATCAATATGTCATTAGTCAATAATTTTTTTTCAAAATTACCCCCTCCTAAATCTGTTTAGTCCAACTCACAACTGTACACTCTCCTACAGATTAAGTGAAAATTACCCCATTAGTCCATAAAGAAATCGATCAGGTAAAGGTGAGGAGAAATCAGACTATATATATATATATATATATTTTTTTTTTTTTTTAGATTTCTTACCACAATTGGGGGGGAAGCTGAATGACAGATCCAATGGCGCAATACTGAATGACAGACTCAATGGCGCAATACTGAATGACAGACTCAATGGCCCAGCAAAGAATGACAGACTCAATGGTGCAGTACTGAATGACAGACTCAATGGCGCAGTACTACTACGGAATGACGAAGGAATGAAGCAATAACCCCCAACTTTGAACCAAGAAAGCTCAAACCCATATTCAATGGCGTCGTAGATGTCTGAAAAAGAGATATTATTATCAAACTTAAACGCCCACGGTGTCATCATCACCATTAGCTCTATACTGCACCTCTCTCTCACTTCTGCTGCCATCAGGCGGTAAGCATTGACATAAGAGTGTATTCCGGAAGAGGAGGAGAAAGAGGAGTTTGCAGTACAAACTCCATTGATGCACTGTCCTATCTCCAGGTAGAGAGGACAATCTACTGGATATGGGCAATTCAGAAAACATACAGGCCTGTTTATCTGCATTTTTCCCATATCCCTCATTTCGCTAAAAGTGCTATATGGATCTTGGAAAGTGAAGTTGTAATTGGTTAAAGAATACTGAGGAAGAATGGAGCAATTACCCTTTTTTTTTACAGCAGAATCAACAAGGCGGATTGTGAAGTTAGGATAGTTGATAGATTGAACGAGGTATTTATGTTTATGGAAACCCAAGTATAAAACTGTAACATTATTTTCACAAGCAAGCTCATATTTGGGGTGACCACAATTTTTTGGATCATCTTTCAATCGGAAAGGGTAACTGATGTTATGGATATTGCCACAGGAAGAAGGGTCACAGAGATGATTCTGCTTACACCAACATGGTTGAGGGAAGTGGATGAGAACAAGGACTGTGATGAAACCCACAACAATGAGATTTTCTCTCAACATTGGAGGAGAGAGAGAGAGTGACTTTCCAACAAGAATAGAAGCGAATTTTCAGAAGAGGTGGAAGGGAGCATATATGTAGACGTAAATATTGAAAAACTTTATATGAAAGACCGTATTATTTATTTTTTTTTTTTTTTTTTTGTCATTTGGTTATTATGTTTTTATCAATCATGATACCATCATCAATTTGTAAAAATATTTATGATGATCTAAAATAGAGTAATTAATAATTTCACTTCAATTAATATTTGAACACACATCATTTATGTGGATTTTGGAGAGCAAATAAAAGAAGGAACATGTCTGTTTTGTGGTTTCTAAATTGTTGATTTGATAAAATATTTTAGGGGGTAATGTGAGAGAATTAATCATTCGAATGACAAATTAATAATTTTTGTATTTTTTAGGGGAAAAAATAATATTTTTCCAATATTCAATATAAACAAAGCTATTCACACCAAAATAAAATGAATAAAATAAATAAATTTTAATAATATTAGTCGGTTAATCAATGGAGAAAAAACTAGCAATTATTTTTGTCCAATCAATGATTGGATGAAAGACTCAAGATTGTACTTTGGAGACATTGGGGCAANAGTTTTCAGAAGAGGTGGAAGGGAGCATATATGTAGACGTAAATATTGAAAATCTTTATATGAAAGACCGTATTATTTATCTTTTTTTTTTTTTTTTTGTCATTTGGTTATTATGTTTTTATCAATCATGATACCATCATCAATTTGTAAAAATATTTATGATGATCTAAAATAGAGTAATTAATAATTTCACTTCAATTAATATTTGAACACACATCATTTATGTGGATTTTGGAGAGCAAATAAAAGAAGGAACATGTCTGTTTTGTGGTTTCTAAATGGTTGATTTGATAAAATATTTTAGGGGGTAATGTGAGAGAATTAATCATTCGAATGACAAATTAATAATTTTTGTATTTTTTAGGGGAAAAAATAATATTTTTCCAATATTCAATATAAACAAAGCTATTCACACCAAAATAAAATGAACAAAATAAATAATTTTTAATAATATTAGTCGGTTAATCAATGGAGAAAAAACTAGCAATTATTTTTATCCAATCAAGGATTGGATGAAAGACTGAAGATTGTACTTTGGAGACATTGGGGCAACGAGTTCTTTTGTCGGAGAAGAATGAAACTCAAAGAAATTAGAAAGTTTTTTTTTCTTTTTGTTGCCTTTCAAAGAGATTTTTTATGGAGACAGTAGGAAAGGAAACAACTTTTTTTGATCCAATTAAGAAAGAAAAATAGCATATTATTGTCTCATGGTTAATTGGTACACATATCCTCTCTTGTACCAATAAACAAGTTATGAAAGGAAGGACGAAGTCTCTTTGACATATAAAACACTTCGGCAACCATCTTATGGACCCCATGTTATAGAAGTTACAGGGGGCCATGGCCCCAAGCTATGACTTAGTTCTATCCCTGTATCGAAGACCCTGAATGGAAGATAGTATTATTTTATTTTCATTTATTTTATTTAATTAATATTTGAACATACTTACCTCATATTTGACTTCTCTCCAAATTTAAAATAATTGGTAAATCCTTTTGATTTTTTTTGAGTGGTGAAGGTCGTTCTATGTCATCAAGTTTTATCTTCTTCACAACACACTTGAAACTTTAAAATTCAAAAATAAATTAGGTATGCTGACATTAAATGATCTTCGCCCTTCAAAAATAATTAAAAGATTCTCAAATTATTTTATAATTTTAGAGGAGTCTTATCGGGCTACTTCATGGGTGTAGGTCGTTTAATTTAGAATTCCCAAGTAGAGCTGTTGGAGAGGATTCTGTAAAAGTGGTAAGTAGTGCATGTATTGCGAATAAATTTTAAAATAGGAGTATTGTTATAAAAACAACTATATATAACAAGCATGGACAAAATTAAAATAAGAGGGAAGCTGGAAGAAANTGTTTCATGTTGATAAGTCAAATTTTGGGGACAAAATTTCTAAAGGGGGAAAAATTTTAAGACCCGAACAAGCATAACAAATATGTGATATGACTTTATTATTTTATGTACATTAATGCTTGTAAAATTAATTGGGTGGCAAGCATGTGACATTAAAGTATTATTATTAAAGTAAAATGTGTTAGTATTAAGGGTCTCGAATACGAATTTAATAGATTATTAATATTTTGGGATATATACATATACATATATATATATATGTCTATTTATAAATATGCATACAAAGAAAAGGCGGGTATATGCATACAGTACATATATAATTTATATATATATGTGTGTGTGTGTGTGTGTATGTTAGGAAAGGTGCATGTATATATATTGTATATATATGTATATGCTAGGAAAGGTGCAAGTATATTGTATATATATGTATATGCTAGGAAAGGTGCAAGTAATATATATATATATATATATTAAAAATATAGGTAATGATGGAGGTACTCCACTTTAGAAGACATGCAAGGCATGTCTTGCATGCAAAAAAACATTATAAAAATACTAAACAAGAGGAGTCTTTCTCACACTCGGGCAAAACAAAGTAGTCTTACTTACCCTTATGCATTTTCCGCAAGAGCAAGAACCAAAAGGAAAGGATAAAAAAAAAAGGGATGAAGAAGGAAAGAAGAGGGAAAAAAAAAAAGAAGAAGAAGAAAAGAGTGGCTGCAAAGGTAAGGATTATAATCAATTTTCTTCTTCTAAGATGTAGAAATCCAACTCTAGTATTTATATTTTGAGTGTTGCATGTATTTAAAGTGTGATATCTTGTGTGTATTTGGGTGTTGTGTATATATTAAATTATGATGTTTAATATGAATTTTAGTTAATGTATGAAGAATTTACCTTAATATTTATGTGGGTGTGTAAGTGAAGTTAAAGTTGTTGCATGAAAAATAATAGAGTGGAAATGTTGTATGTGGCTTAAATTTTGGTCAAGAGATGGTGGTTTGATGGGTAATTAGAAATTTTGTGAATTATTCTTAAATATTCATGAAAACTCATGGGTATGGGTAATTATAAGAAAACATGCAAATTTATGATTTTACAGAAAATTATCAAGTATATTTTGGGTTACTATAATTTTATGAGAAAAGTTTACTTTGGGTGTAATGAATTCGAGTAGAAAATTTTACTCGCAATGAATAAATTATTTTATGTGACTCGAATTAATTGTAAACTACTAGTTTAATCAATTCGAGTAATTAACATTATTAGTTGTGGATGAAGGATTGAATGTGACACGAGTAAATTACGAAACTTGATTCGAGTAAACCAAATTGAGTAAAAGCGGTACTATTTATTGATATTCAAATGGGATTGTGAATATTGGGTGTTAGGTTTGGGGATGAGCACTGCAAAGAACGCTGCCCAAAAGCTACAACGAAGAAGTCATTTACGAGATCGAATTATTCGCAATGTAGGTGCACTACCCTACAATTTTTTGTGATAATTTATTAGACTTTTAAACATATGTTTTTACTATGATTATTGTTGGAAATAATTAATTGATCGAGGACACATGGTACATTACGAGAGTCGTTTAAATAATGAGAGAGGATTATGTGATTCAGTGGTCTAAGTAACATGAAATATTTATATGGCTTTAATTGTTTATGTGATGGGATTTGATTATGTGGTGGAGTCATCTAAGTAACATGATCAAAACCTCTTTGTGATGTGGGTCATCTAAAGGAAAACTATTAATGTGGTTTGAGTTGTCCCATTGATAAATGATATCTATGAGGTGATACAAGCTTGTGATATATGTGGCCTATGTGGCGCAAGAATTTGCACAATTAAAAATAGCCTGTGTAGCGGTTGTTGTTTACAAGATGATTAGTTGTGTGCGTGTGGGGTATTCATTGGGAGGAATAATTTAATTATGTGGAAGTAAATATATGTGTTGTATATTTTGTTAATGTGATAAATACAGGTTATGTCTACGCAATGTAAACACATATGTATGAGGTGAAGTGTAATTTGAAAGTAAGTATCTAATTCGTGGTTAAGGTTGTTTTTAAATAAATAAAATTTCTTTTATCACTTGTTGTGCTCTTAAATATTAATTACATCTTTGTTTTTACTAATGGTCTTAATGACTTTTTAGGAAAAATCATAACAACGTGAGGAGTCCATTGCCGAGTCTAGAGGGTCGATTGGGATGTCATCATGGGTTTTATTTTTATATGTCCTTTAAATTTAAATTGTATTATTCTATGTCATATTCTTGAGTTCAATATTACAGTTTGTAAACAAGCAAGACTCATGGCAGGCCGTACCACTAAGGGGTTTGATGTATTTTTTTTTATATGCTTATTTTTACATAAAGAAAGGTGTATAACAAAAAAATAAACAGGAATTACAGATATTATATGCCGGGTTGGGGTGTTACACAGATCGCTACCGCTGTCCTGGGTTCGAGCTATCCTGTGACAAGAAAGTTATTTGATTGTATGACCCAGAAGGCTCCGTTCCGGCAAAGCTTCCAAACCTCAACTTGTCTGCCACCCCTTTCCAGTTCAATGAAATGTACTTATATAATTACTCGTTATTCAATTTTTCTGCACCAAACAGAGATCTATTTCAGTTTCATTGCCTTGATGGCCCTGGCTACCAAGTGTATTTCATACTTTCTAGCTCGAACATTGAATATTATCCTCTGATATCTTGCAGCAACATTCATAACTTAGAATCGGTGCCCTATAGTATATTTAATCAAAGAGGTGAGCTTCAGTTGAGTTGGTTAAAACCAAATTACAGCTACTGTGAAGCTGAAGGCAAGATAAAATGTGAGGAAACAAACACCACGCTAAGAACACTTATTAGGTCCTCAAATAAAATTTCTATAGCATTGCTGTAGAAGGAAAATGCTATGAGCAATGCTATAAGAATTTTATTTGGGACCTAATGATGTAACTTTAATGTAACTATTAAATTAGTTGTGAAATCTAATGTTAGATGGAGTCCACAACCAATCCAATGATTGTATTAAATTAAGTTTTCAAATTAGGCGTAAATAATATTTGTATAAATAGCAATTGAAAAATGCTATTTACACCAAATTTGAAAACTTAATCAAAAAATCTAATTCAATACGATTATTAAATTAATTATGGACTCTATCTAACGTTGAAACTCACGACTAATTTAATAGTTTTATAAGTTCCTGTGCCATTGCTCATCGTAGAATACCATTTGCCGAATCTGCTTAAATCAATAGAGATAGCAAGACATTGAGGACCCACTAGGTAGGCACTTTGAAATGGCCAGCAGCTTCCTTTTTCTTATTCACTTCTTGCTCTTAGTGTTCTTTCCTCCAAACCTTGAAGCAACTCAAGAAGGTGAGCGCAGGGTATTCAATTTCAGGTGCGGTTACAATGGGCCATCAATCCGATTCCCATTCTGGGTTAAAGCTTTCCANCTACGTGGTAAGGTGATGTACTATCACTAATTAATAATACTAAAACAAATAAGTAGATGAATCCCACAAAGATCTATAATTAATCTGCCATGTAAACAAATAACTTCTCACCCTCCTGTCATATAAGTACAAGTGAAATTCATCTTTCCAATTTAAAATTTTATTATTGGTTGGTGATACCATGTCACCAATAATGACACGATATCACTGTTGTATTTAATATTAACTCCAATTGAAGGTTGATGAAGAATTTTAATGCGGATTCAAAAAACACATAACTTATTAACATCTATATAATAAAATAAGAATGTGTTTGAATTTTATCCCAATCATATTTTCTCCCTCAAAACTATCACTAATCACTTATCTCACTCATTATTCATTTGTCAGATTCAAAAGTCAAATCGTATCACTCATTTTTATCACATATTTAATTATTTATATATTTCTTTTCTAAAAATATCACATCATTTATTTCTATCATATATTTAATTATTTAATATTTGATTAATTTTTAGTTAATATATTTTTAAAAAATTTAATATAATGAGAACGATTTTTTTGATGCTCAAATTTTATATTTTATTGTGCTTTCATGTACGGGTTATGACTAGTTGTGTAATATAAAAGGACCCGAATTTAAAAATCAAACCAAAATTAGTTTTTTTTTTTCAAAAAATACCTGCTATTATATATATAACAGTAGCCATCAAGGTAGCCATGAAAAACATGAAGAAACTGGTGGGTTTTATAGGTGAATGTATGCTCAGACAGCCAAGGGTCAAACCAAAATTAGTTATTATTCCATTGAGTTATACTTTTCAACGAAACGACATAGAGATAATAATTTGCACAATATTTTTAAATTAAAAATACTTTTGATATGGATTTAAAAATCACACAACTTGTTAATCCAATGCAATATAAAAAGGACATGAATTTCAAAGTCATATCAAAATAGTTATTATTTTATTGAGGTATAAAATGTGAGGAAACAAACACTGCGCTAAGAACACTTATTAGGTCCTCAAATAAAATTTCTATAGCATTGCTGTAGAAGGAAAATGCTATGAGCAATGCTATAAGAATTTTATTTGGGGACCTAATGATGTGATTTTAATGTAACTATTAGATTAGTTGTGAGTTCTAATGTTAGATGAAGTCTACAACCAATCCAATAATTGTATTGAATTAGGTCTTCAAATTAGGCGTAAATAGTATTTGTATAAATAGCATTTGAAAAATGTTATTTACACCTAATTTGGAGACTTAATCAAAAAACCTAATTCAATACAATTATTAGATTAATTATAGACTCTATCTAACGTTAAAATTCACGATTAATTTAATAATTTTTTAAGTTCCAGTACCGTTGCTCATTGTAGAATACCATTTGCCGAATCTGCTTAAATCAATAGAGATAGCAGGACATTGAGGACCCACTAGGTAGGCACTTTGAAATGGCCAGCAGCTTCCTTTTTCTTATTCACTTCTTGCTCTTATGTTCTTTCCTCCAAACCTTGAAGCAGCTCAAGAAGGTGAGCGCAGGGTATTCAATTTCAGGTGCGGTTACAATGGGCCATCAATCGGATTCCCATTCTGGGTTAAAGCTTTCCACCCAGATCGCTACCGCTCTCCTGGGTTCGGGCTATCCTGTGATAAGAACAAGCAAACAGTCCTTGATCTTCCCTTTTCTGTGAAGCTATTTGTCAAGAAAATTGGCTATAAATCTCGAGTTATTCGATTGTATGACCCAGATGGCTGCGTTCCGGCAAAGCTTCCATACCTCAACTTGTCTGCCTCCCCTTTCCAGTTCAATGAAATAGACTCATATAATTTCTAGTTATTCAATTGTTCTGCACCAGACAGACAAATGTTTGATTCTGTACCATTCAAACAAATGTTTCTCTCGGTTCCGTGCCTTCGAGCTTCCGCCTACCAAGTGTATGCCATATTGNTAGACTCATATAATTTCTCGTTATTCAATTGTTCTGCACCAGACAGACAAATGTTTGATTCTGTACCATTCAAACAAATGTTTCTCTCGGTTCCTTGCCTTCGAGCTTCCGCCTACCAAGTGTATGCCATATTGTCTTGGAACAACGTTGATGATTTTCCTTTGACATCTTACAGCAACATTCATAACTTAGAAGAATCGGTGCCCTATAATATATTTCACCAAGGAGGTAAGCTTCAGTTGAGTTGGTCGAAACCAAATTGCAGCCTCTGTGAAGCTGAAGGCAAGATTTGTAGATTGAAGAATGATACCACAGAATATGAAACTGAATGTGTTGCCAAATCCAAGACACTCAAAGGTACTTTATTTATTCCATGTTTTGCTTTAACTTCAGTTCACACTTCAGATAGGAAACGTCAAAGAAGGAGCAGAATTATGAGTTACCACTGGCTGCTCAAATAAAAACCTGAAAAACCCAACAGCAATTTGACATTTGCACTATTAACTATTGCAGGTTTTTTTTTTTTTTCCTTGTGATGTGAATTGTTTCAACCAAATGTTTTTGAGCCTCATAGTTGAAAAACAAACTTGGATACACATAATCACACGCACATCGGATAAAACCATGTTAATTATTGAGACTTAAACTCAAAATGGACAAACTCACATCTTACTCCATGTTCTACCACTAAACCAATCTGGATTTACTGTATATGTTATCAATGTGATCTTTAATGAGAAATTTTAAAGTATGTCAGAGGAGGCTCCTGTAAACAAGATTAAAAAATATAGCTGTGGGTGGAGCTATAAAGTGATGAAGTTGTTGAAAATTTTAATTATCAGTGTGGACCTTGGCATGAAGAATCCTGGAGTGCGGTGATTGCTATTAACTAATGTTGTTAGGTTTTTCCGGGTATTGTTATTTTCATAAGCATAAGAAGCTAACAATGTTTTTATTCTTTACAGGTCATGCATTTAAGAAACAATTGTGGGCAGGTGATGTTGTCTTTTGTTTTTGGGGGTGAATGACACTTTGTTTTCTAAGTAATTTTACAATTTTCACTTTATCTTGAAAAGGATTATAAATGTCATATTACATGTTGAATTTCTTGGTAGCATTATACTTGTATCCCCTTTTTTTCCACAAAATTATGCCCTACATTGGGAGATAAGGGACACATTGTTTCCATTTAAAAAAAATTCAAAGTGCAATGTGATACTTTTAGTCTTTAAAAGGATAAAGTGAAAATTTTAAATTAGTTTGGGAAAAAATTAATATTGGCCTATTGGTTTTCCCTTTAGGTGTAATTCTAGGAATCTATTAGAAATACAAGCTTTCTGAACTTATTATGTTTTATGTTCAGGTCTAATTTTAGGTTGCTTTCTTCTTGTAGCAGTTCCTGTACTCTATCATATCTATAGATCAATTAAAATGAAAAAAGAGAATGAAGTGAAAATTGAAAAATTTTTGGAGGATTATAGAGCTCTTTAGCCCACAGGATACTCTTATGCTGATATCAAAAGGATTACAAATCATTTTAGTGATATATTGGGTGAAGGAGGTTACAGAACCGTTTACAAAGGAAGGCTTTCTGATGACATTTTTGTTGCCGTGAAAGTTCTCAACAGTTCAATGGGAAATGGGGACGATTTCATCAATGAAGTTGGAACCATTGGGAGAATTCACCATGTCAATGTGGTTCGTTTGGTTGGGTTTTTGTGCCGATGGATTTAGAAAAGCTCTTGTATATGAGTTCCTTTCGAATGATTCACTGGAAAAGTTCATATCTTCAACAAGCTCTAAAAATATAACTCTTGGTTGGAAGAAGCTTCAAGACATTGCTTTAGGCATAGCCAACGGGATTGAATATCTTCACCAAGGGTGCGACCAAAGAATCTTGCATTTTGATATTAAACCCCATAATATCTTGTTATACCACAACTTCAATCCTAAGATCTCTAATTTTGGTTTGGCCAAGTTGTGTTCAAAAGAACGAAATGATGTTTTTATAACTGCTGCGAGGGGAACAATGGGTTACATAGCGCCTGAAGTGTTATCAAGACATATCGGGAAAGTTTCACATAAGTCGGATGTTTATAGCTTCGGAATGTTATTGCTTGAGATGGTTGGAGGAAGGAAAAGTCTTGATGTTGCAGTGAACAATATACTAGCCAAGAAAACTCTCTAGAGTGGTTATTGTGCGTGCTGGATCTTGCACAATATAAAAACAAGAACAGATCTCTCCTTTGGTGAACTCGAGTGAATCGGTGGAATGGTCAACCACGCTGCTTGGAACAACCTGTGAGATCCTGTGGTAACCTGGAACGGTAATGGGAGACCCTCATGGATCAAAGGAACGATCCAGTAAGGCTGAAGAAAGGTTCCTGGAACAAAGAAGAACAAGTTAGAAGGGCGCCGGAGTGTTTTCCGGCGTATCCCCTCTGACGATCAAGTCAGTCTTTGAGAGAGAGAGGAAGAAGAAAATACTGAGTATATATTGTAGCAAAGGTTTTTTGTTACATACCATCTTGCCTTTTGCGAGGAGTATTTATACCTCAAAATCTCATGATTGCTGTCAGTGTAGTCAGTAGGTGATCATTAGGTACAGGCAGTGTGCGCACTGATTCTGATGAGGAATGCCTTCTCTTTTAACTGCTCAGGATCCCGAGCAATCAATACTGTGTCATCGGGTTGCCGACTGTTCAGTGAGCTCCCTTCGGGGATGACGCAATAAATGCCCAGCCTTAGAGGCATTTATTGCCTTTCAATTCCGAGCCTTACCGCATTGAATGCAGTTTCATCAAGGGAATGACGTAATTAAATGTTTGCTTTCTCAAGTCGTGTGTCAGCAAGGCATGCGGTCTTTCTGTCTCGGATGTGACACAATATGTCACGCGTCCATTCCCTCTGGCTGTGGCCCCTGCCTTCCTGTGCCTTCTGACACCAATTGTGTAAGACGAGATCATGATAGCTAGCATAGCCTAGGCTAGTGACCTATACATCAATAGCCTTTGCTGGAGCAGAGAACGACATCCTGGACGAGGGGGTACATCTCGGTACCGAGGAAGAGGTACATCTCGGAGCCGAGGGAAAGAGCCTAACGACCGATGAACCATATCAAACCGAGGGTACGTGTCGGTACATAAAAAGTATTGGGATGCCACTTGATCTCTATGATCAGCACCTCGGGGGGAGAGGGGACTTGTGACCCGATGGGTACGTGATCTCGATAACAAGGATCAGTGACACCGAGGACATGTATCTTCATCTTGGAGTATTCCGGAAATGTCCCATCAACTACCCCCCAGCTTTCGATCTTCTGACACCGAGGACACGCGTTGTAAGGAGATGAAGGGTTTTGCAACAACCCCAACTGCTTCATCATTGCCCCTAGCCGTTTTCCCTGCTTAGGATGTCGTGCGCATTAAATGCGCCGTTTTGTGCTCTGCGCCCAATGATGGGATAGGTGCTCTATATAAAGGGGTTTCCTCTCTTCTTTTCTCATTTCATCGTTCTGAACTTTTCTTCATAGAGAACCCTTGTCTGAATCTTCGTCGGAGACCTCTTTTCTTTCGTTTGTCAACTGCCCAACCTTTTCACTGAAGCTTTACAGCCAGCAGACCCATCCTTGCTCTGAATATTCTTGGAAGGAGTCGATTCAAGTTTTCCAGAAAAAACCTCTTTTTATACTCTGGTGAGTCTCAGTATCTTCCCTTTCTTTGCCCTCCTGTCTCTTTTGTTTTTTCGATCACCGGATGTGTTTTCTGGTTGCCCTTCAGTGACCAATCCCCGGGAAGCCTTCTTGGGGACTTTCGTGGAAAAGACCCCCTCTATTTTTTATCACTTTTTGAAGATGCCTCGTCGTCGCCCTTCCCCCGAGAACCCTCAGGCTAGTACTTCGAGACCAGGGAAGTATAAAGTAAAAGGTGGTGAACAAATTGATAGGTTTAGGGTTAAGTACCCCGTTCCCCCGAATGTAGACATAGAGGATTATGACCCCGCTGTGCATTCTCGTACCCTCGGTACCGAATACGCAATGCCTTTTTTTATCAAAGCCATCATAGAAGGTGGAATTAGGTTCCCTTTGCCCCCTCTGCTTCTCCAGTTCTTCTCTCATTTTCGCCTCTTTCCCGGGCAGTGTTGCCTTAATGTCTTTAGGATAATTATAAGGGTCCTAGAACTCAATAGGCGTCTTGGGGTAAACGTCGGGCTAAACGATATCTTTTTTTGTTATTCCCTCTTGAGAGTTACGCCTCAANACGTCGGGCTAAACAATATCTTTTTTTGTTATTCCCTCTTGAGAGTTACGCCTCAACAACACTTCTACCTCAAAGCCAGGGACCCATCTATGTACCTCGTTACCCACCTTCCTGACTCGGACAAGGGGTACAAGGATGACCTACTCATCTTCAAGGGATCTTGGCAGAGAGGTGTCGGTCCCGAGTATGACGGCTTGTTATGCCCTTTGGAATGGAGAACAACAAGTACGTCGATTTCTTCGGGTCTATTATTTTGTTTCTGAGATTTTCAACGTGCTCATGACCCACTCCCCTATTTTTGCTTGTGCAGACATCTCCCCTCGGGAAACAGCTCTTCCACCCCGGTCGTTGGTGAACTTTGCGGACCTAGTCACCGTTTGGAGATTCATTGGTAACGACAGGCTCGGCCGGGCTGCCCACATCCTCCTGAATTATACTCCCGGATATAAGAAGTTTTCATAGCTTCCCCAGCCTTTCGAGTCTTCGCGGTGGTCTGAACTCTTCGATCAGGCGATGGGGCAAGAAGTCGAGGAGAACTTGGAAGAAGACCCTGACCGGGCCTCGGAGGTAGAAGTAGAGGGTATAGTTGAAGAGCTCGGGGTCAGAGAGGACTTGGTTCCTTCGNT